TTTATATAAAGGGACTATACATGCTCTCCGCCAATCCCTAGGTACCTTCCCCTCTTTCATACATTTATTAAACAAAAGTACCAACCACTCCAACACTATATCCCCCCCTGCTGTTAACATTTCTGTCATGATCCCATCAGTTCCAGCTGCTTTACCCCCTTTCATTCTACGTAATGCCTCACGTACCTCCACCACACTTACATTCTGCTCTTCTTCACTCCTAAAAGATGGTATACCTCCCTGGCCAGTGCATGAAATTTCCATTTTTACTATAACTAAATAGCTGCAAATGTAGGGTTAACTCTGAAGTCAGATTGAAAATCAGTATAACAGAATTGGTCTAAAACACATACATCTACCTCAGTAACAAATTTGTTGTTGCACAATATTTTACTTATTTCATGCAAGCACCAAAAAATCATGTGAAGAATGGTCAACCAGAGATAATGTTACAATTAAAAAAAAAAAGTTATTTATCTGATTAGAATTATCAAATTATACCCATGGTTCCTAGATATCTAATTTTACCACACTAGTCCTTCCCCACCAAGGTAGAAAGACTCAAACATTTATCATCACTCCCTTTCCTGACTCTTTCCAGAATAACATGAGCATCACAATTTAAATTTTGCAAACTATCTTCTCATGGAGTGCATTCTATTAACTACATTGCTATAATTCAGTAATTAATTACCATACGTATATTTGTAGCTACAAGATCAGACCTAAGTTTGTGGTGTCTCATCTTCAATATGTAATACATCATTAAAGTTTCCAGTGGTTGTAGCACTTACTACCTCTATTTGTAAATAATTTTATTGTTCCACCACTCAGTTTGTGAAGAACAACTTTCTAGAATATCTTTGGTACCTCTCTTAATATATACCGTAGCTACAGTCTCCTGTTCTCCCTTATGGTGCTAGGAAATCTTAGCACCATTATAATCTTATTGCATACAAGATTATGATTTGATGATCTTGTATGTGGTTATGTCTCATCTTATCCTGCTAACAGCCTTTTTGGTATTTGTAAGGTAGTGTCTGGTAACCATGTTAACAACAATTATCTAAGACAACCCTTACCCATTTTATTTTGAATGCAGTAGTATATGTACATTTTACATTAACTTTTAATTTATTTATTCAGACAGCATTTAAAATTTAAACTTCACCCACTCAAATACTTGCCTAATGGTCAGCCCACTAAAATTTATTTGATTTTTAATTTTGCAATCAAACGTATTGATATTTATGGAACGTTACTCCACCTTACTACCTCACATTTGTATTAAGCTTAAATAGGTTTGTAAAACAGTTAACCATTACTTCTTGTCTAGTTTTAAGTATAGTTACTATGTTCTATTATCTTGTCTAGTTTTAATTAGCTACTATGTATTAGGATTAGTCTGCCCAAAATATCCCAGTATGATAGTGGTTATCTTTGTACTTAGAAAATCAAAATTGTAATTACACATTGTAACCTTTACAAAGATGGTTGACACAAACTCACTACCAATACAATATGCTCCTTGCTTAACAACCAATTCACTTACCGACCTACTCTTAGGAACGGAACCCTGTAGTTAAGTGAGGAGAGGCTGTATTGTTTTATTCAGTTGTGATGGTCTTTGCTATTTTTTTTTTTTTTTTTTTTTTTTTTTTTTACAAAATGATTATTATTTTTTTTTTATTATCACACTGGCCGATTCCCACCAAGGCAGGGTGGCCCGAAAAAGAAAAACTTTCACCATCATTCACTCCATCACTGTCTTGCCAAAAGGGTACTTTACACTACAGTTTTTAAACTGCAACATTAACACCCCTCCTTCAGAGTGCAGGCACTGTACTTCCCATCTCCAGGACTCAAGTCCGGCCTGCCGGTTTCCCTGAACCCCTTCATAAATGTTACTTTGCTCACACTCCAACAGCACGTCAAGTATTAAAAACCATTTGTCTCCATTCACTCCTATCAAACACACTCATGCATGCCTGCTGGAAGTCCAAGCCCTTCGCACACAAAACCTCCTTTACCCCCTCCCTCCAACCTTTCCTAGGCCGACCCCTACCCCACCTTCCTTCCACTACAGACTGATACACTCTTGAAGTTATTCTGTTTCGCTCCATTCTCTTCACATGTCCGAACCACCTCAACAACCCTTCCTCAGCCCTCTGGACAACAGTTTTGGTAATCCCGCACCTCCTCCTAACTTCCAAACTACGAATTCTCTGCATTATATTCACACCACACATTGCTCTCAGACATGACATCTCCACTGCCTCCAGCCTTCTCCTCGCTGCAACATTCATCACCCATGCTTCACACCCATATAAGAGCGTTGGTAAAACTATACTCTCATACATTCCCCTCTTTACCTCCAAGGACAAAGTTCTTTGTCTCCACAGACTCCTAAGTGCACCACTCACCCTTTTCCCCTCATCAATTCTATGATTCACCTCATCTTTCATAGACCCATCCGCTGACACGTCCACTCCCAAATATCTGAATACATTCACCTCCTCCATACTCTCTCCCTCCAATCTGATATCCAATCTTTCATCACCTAATCTTTTTGTTATCCTCATAACCTTACTCTTTCCTGTATTCACTTTCAATTTTCTTCTTTTGCACACCCTACCAAATTCATCCACCAATCTCTGCAACTTCTCTTCAGAATCTCCCAAGAGCACAGTGTCATCAGCAAAGAGCAACTGTGACAACTCCCACTTTATGTGTGATTCTTTATCTTTTAACTCCACGCCTCTTGCCAAGACCCTCGCATTTACTTCTCTTACAACCCCATCTATAAATATATTAAACAACCACGGTGACATCACACTGGGAAATAATTTCCCTCTTTCCTACATACTCTAACTTGAGCCTCAAAATGGTTATAAAGACTATTACTGATTGAGGTTTTTGTCTATTTTTTAACAGCCAAATACAAAAGTTGGTGGCCCAGTTTTAGTATCCAGGCTGGCAATGGAAGAGGTTAATCATTATTGTGGACAAGAGATAATCATTTAACAACAATCTCTAATACTGGCTAATGAAGCAAATATCCTATGCAAAGAAGAAATCCAATTTATCACTTCCTGACATGATGACTCAGAGAAATTGTGAAAATGTAGTGACCTGGTTGGTGGAATTTAATGTAATGAGTAACAGTGAAGTCACAAGAACAAACTGATACTATGAGCACTGGATCGAGAGAAGGATGAAGGAGCAATTATAAAGACCAAAACATCACAAATAGAATTCATGTAGGTGGATGGAAGAATGCAGAAAAAAATTTCCATCACACACTAGATCAAACCTAGAATATGCAGCCTAACATATCATGGTGACCACATGCATGCACTGAGTAGAGACCTGAAGAGAAAACCCAAGGGAAGCACAACTAACACATTAAACAGTATGAATAGGAAAAAGCAGTGTGATATGTGATAAGACTTGACCTATGAGAGAGAACATCTTGAGAGACAGAAAAACAACAGGGATGTTAGGAAGTACTCTCTCAGTCTCCAGGTGAGGAGTGGAACAAGCTAGACAGAGATGCGAGGCAAATACTGAATATAAACACATGCAAGCATACACCAGAAGACCATATTAATGAAAACTTGACAAATTCTTATACTATACTAGCTAACTTTAAAATACCCTTTAAACCTATGCACAACACAAACATTCACAACACAAAGTAGGCCAAAACTAATATGCAGTAGTAGTGTGGTGTCCATGCCTAAACAAAAATTGGGGATAAGATAGAATTTTTTTTAGAAAACTGAAGAGAAATGGATCAGCATAAGAGGCTACAGTTGAAAAGTGGTGCCAAAACGATAGTAGAATTTTTTTTCTTCACAGATAGTGGTAGAATAATGGAATGAGTTATAAGAGTTCAATAGCCACTGGAAATTTAAAATATACAAAAGAACAAATGCTGAAGATGAAGCACCAAGAGCACAGCTATGTTTCTGTAGTAACAAATAGGTAATCATATGAGCACACACTTACCCTATTTCTTATTAACATGCACTTAAAAACACACACACACGGCCGACGTTAAAAAAAAAAAAAATTATATATATATATATATATATATATATATATATATATATATATATATATATATATATATAATATATATATATATATATATATATATATATACACATACACACACACATATATTCAACCCCTGCAACCACAGTCTCTCTCTCTCTCACACACAGACACACACACAGACAGACAGAGACAGACAAGAGACAGACAGACACACACATACATGCGCACACACACACACACACACATATATATTCAACCCCTGCAACCACAGTCTCTCTCTCTCTCACTCACACACAGACAGACAGACAGACAGAGACAGGCATGCGCGCACACGCGCGCACACGCGCACGCACACACACACCCACCCCCCCATTATCTCTCTCACCTCATTCTTTCTCTTTCATCCCATTCTCTCTCCATTCCCCTCATTCTCAATCTCTCCCTCAGTCTTTCATATTATATTTTTCACCAGTATATTTAAAACAGTAAATAAAATCTAATGACCAAATGTTGTTTGAGAATAATTTGCAATAAACTTAAAAAGCACACAAGACATTATGCAAGCTTGGTACAGTATAACATTACTAATTACCCAAGTCAGGAGCACATCCATGCACTGCAATGCTCAGTCCCACATTGTAAAAGCTTTCTCATTAATTATGTTTTTTAGTAAAGTTCATGTTTTTGTAATTTTTATAAACGTTTCTGTAAACTTTATAAAGTTTTTTGCAAACCTGTACAAAATTTATAAAGTTTTTGTAAACTTTATAAATGCTTATTTTGTGTAATCTATATACAAAAAATTGTATCAACTTCATAAAGATTTGCGTAAATTTTATAAATTTATCTGTGGAAATGCGTTGAAGAAGCAAATAAAAATAAAGTTGTATTTACAGTACTATTAAAGCCAAAAAAGTCAAATAATCATTCCTACTCACTAGCATTCCTCCCATACAGTTTCCTTTCCCACTCATCAATGATGGGCTGGGTGGTGGGCTTCTCATGGAGGGAACCAGAACGTACAACAGCAGCACTGGGCCGCTCAGCCAGCCCGGGGGTCCCCCGAGAATTGTGGGAGGTTGGGGCAGGGGAGGGATTGGAACTACTGTCCTTGGGCGTGGATGGGGTAGAGGGTGTGACAAAGCCAGAGCCAAAGCTATATACAGAAGCACTGGGAGTACTCGGTGTTGATGAAACTGACACATCAATCCCATTGTGACTACTTGGAGTTCTAGGTACAGAAAGTGTTGGTTCAAATTTATTCTTTTTAGATTCAAGTGTGCCAGGAGATTGACTTCCAAGATCAGCATCACCTAGGGCACTGTGACTGCTTGGAGATTTAGATACAGAAAGAGTTAGTTCAGGTTTATTCTTTTTAGATTTAGATGAGACAGGAGGCTGAATGCTAAGATCAGTATCCACTAGGGAAATCTTAGCAGAAGCTGAAGCTAAAGCTCCTAAAGCAGATCCTGTGTGAGTCTTGGATTCCAGGATGGGAGAGGAGGTAAAGACTGTCCTATCACGAGCTTTTGGTGTAGATAAAGTACTTAAGAGGTGAGTTTTAGTAGAGGAAATGGTTAGTGATTGATCAGGCTTTACAGAAGCTGAGGATGATGCAGTAGTTGTATCACTATTACTAGTGGATCTTAAAGGTTTGACAGAATTATCTTCTACAGCAACAGGCTCAGGTAATGTGACCTTGAGTGAGGCTGATAGCTGAGGAATGGAAGGTTTCTGCACATCAGCAGGTTCAGGGACATCTTTCTTCCACAAGAGTGATGACTCAGAATTGGAAGAATCCTGTATAGTAATGAGCTCAGGAATAACTTTCCTCTGTACAGGTGAAGGCTCAGGAATAGGAGGGTCCCATGCTACAAAAGGATTATGAATAGATTCTTTATGTGGGGGTGAAGGTTCAGGAGAGGGTCTTACAAGAATGGATTGGGGAAAAACTTTCTTCCGTGGGGGTGAAGCCTCAGGCGGGGAGGCATCCTGAATAACAACAGATTCAAAGGGTGAAGGTTCAGGAGTGGTAGGATTTTTCACTGCAACAGGGTTATGAAAAACTTGTTGATGTGAAGGTGAAAGTTCAGGAGAGGGGGGGTTCTGTACCACAAATTCAGGGAAAACTTTCTTTTGTGAAGGCAAAGGCTCATGAGAGGGAGGGTTCTGTACCATAAATTCAGGGAAGACTTTCTTTTGTGAAGGTGAAGGCTCATGAGTGGGATGGCTCCTCACTGTAATAGGTTCAGGGAAAACTTTATGTGGGGGTAAAGGCTCAGTAGTAAAGGAGTCCCTCACTGTAACAGATTCAGAGAAAGCTTTGTGCAGGGGTAAAGGATCAGGAGAGGGAGGGTCCCTCACTGTAATGGGTTTAGGGAAAGCTTTCTTGTGTGGGGGTGAAGGTTCAGAAGGCAAAGGAAGAGTGTCCTGTAGAGCAACAGGTGCATGGTAAATTTTCTTGGTCAGTGGTGCCGGTTCAGGAGATGATGACTCTAAACTAACAAAAGAATTAGTATCCTTAGTCATTACACTACTAGTGAGTGACATTGTCATAGCAGAGTCAGGAGAAGCACTCTCAGGTGATGAATGGCCATCATTATGCATAATTAAGGTGATGGGAGTGAGGTTTGAAAAGGTAAGCGGAGAATTAGGGGAGAGCGCTACTGGTGTTGTGGGCTCTTCATGTTTACCAAGTGGGGAGGGGGGTTTGGGAGAAGGTGTTGGTATGGGGGACTCCAGGGCTATTGAGGGCACTTCCACAACATTCCCTGCAAGTCAATAAGGTCCCTTCAATCTATATCCAAGTTGAAATGCAACAAATTATTTAACTTTTTCCTTTCTGAGTACAGTAATACCTTACATTTCAGACTAATGATGTTATTAGTTGATTACAGTGGTAATATACAGGCTACATATGGCTACAAATGCCTACATTACTGCACAAAGATAAAAAATGCAATGATGTGCAAAATATACAACACTTCCAATTATGAAAATACTGTAGTCAAAAAAACAATTAGCCTGGGTGCTAACTAAGAGAAGTAAACATACAGAGTTGTCTAATTCACAAACACTTCCTGATCATTGAGGATACAAGATGAACTATGAAAGCACTACAGATATGCTACAGAACAGTGTTTTTCAAACATCAGACTGAGGCTCATTGCAGTGAGGAGAGAGTTGTGAGCAGGGTGACCCTAAAACAACTAATAAGTAGTTGACAAATTGGCAACGAATCACTGCTGTAGAGTAATCTACATTTTACATTATCAAAACTTGCACCAATATTTAATTAAATTTCATTTATTAATACGTATATATGTAATTAATTTTTTTTATATTTTTTTTATATTGGTATGTATGTACATTGTACAATGAATGTCAGTTAAATTGGAGATCCAGTTCTGCCATTTGAATTCATACAATTTGAAAAGATTATTAAAAATAAGATAGGAAGGGATGAAAATACAAGATAGTATATACAGTAACTGAATTTTCACAGAAACTCAATGATTTTGTCAAAACACAGTAGCCCCCATAATTATTCCGATTCATAATCCCAGCACAACACTAACTCCCAAATAACACCTACACCAACAGACAATATTACACACTACATACTGTACCAAGACCTTCTCCAATACAGTTAATTAGAAGTTTTGCCTAAAGTAACCCATCACTACAAATTACTTAAAACTTTAGTAACACTTATCCCTACATTCATAAATACTATTGTAATACACATCTTTCAGCTAATCATCAATGTAATGCCATCAATTTACCCATATTAATACAGTTCAAAAGTACAACTATAATACAGTGGAACCTCTACTTCCAAGCGCATCCACGTGTGAGTTTTTCCAAATACGAGCAGCCGATCAGTCGATTTTTTGCTTCCATACACAAGCAAAATTTCCATAAGCGAGCAGGCCTCAAGGGAGGTTCCTTGACAATGGTGAGGGGGCTCTTGCTCTTGATCTAGGGAACTGGATCTCATTTGTTTGTTGGACTAACTTATTGAAACTTGGGCAATATGTGATGGAAAGATGCTTCTTAACGTGCACCAAAAATGAAAGAAATCGTACCATAAATAATGGAATTCTCTTCTCAGCAATTAGCCTTCCCTTAGCGGTATTTTCGTATGATTTTTATGGTTGTACGTATTCTCGTTTTTTTTTTTTTTTTTTTGGTCTCATTTGATAGAATGGAAGATATATTACAGAAATAGATATGATTTTGATTGGTTTACGACGAAAAGTACCTTGAAATTGAGCTCAAAGTAGCAGAAATGTTCGATTCTTTGGCGATGTTCAAGAGTAAACAAATGACGTCACTGTCCATTCCAATATGCAGTCATGAATGGGTTGACATTATTTATACAATTATTCCAATAATGCAGTAGTCTGCATAACAGTAAATCTTCTAATTTTTTGTGTGAATAAAAATTACAAATTATTTATGCTTTAATAATAATAATAATAATAATAATAAATATAATAATAATAATATACTAATATAATAACATAATAATATTAATACGTATAATAATACATGTATAATAATGTACTATATAATAATTGTTATAATAGACTACTTCAAAAAGCCGTCACTAGATGGCAGTGTTTACCACAACAAAGCGGGAGCGGTTGTGGCCGCCTCCACCGGTTACATAATGACATTTTATTCATTCTAGAGTATATATCAGGTTTCTATGTTATTTATATTGTTTATGTCATATTAGATGAACTGTGATAGACAAATAAGCCGTATAGATATTAGCGAAATTATTCAAGAGTATTTCGTCCGGTCTCCAGAAACTCTTATCCGCCAATGACACTACTATATGAATGACATTCTATTCATTCTAGAGTATATATCAGGTTTCTATGTTATCTATATTGTTTATTATATCATATTAGATGGATTGTGATAGATAAATAAGCAGTAGAGTTGATATTAAGGAAATTATTGAAGTACAGAATTTCACTGGAACGGATTAGTTGCATTTCAATTAATTTAAATGAGGAAAATTGACTATGTAAACAAGCAAATCCAGATGCAAGCAAGGTCACAGAATGGATTAAACTCATGAGTGGAGGTTCCACTGTATTACATTAACAATGATACACAAATAACCCGCACATAAAGAGAGAAGCTTATGACGACGTTTCGGTCCGACTTGGACCATTGACAAAGTCACACTAACCAGAGGTGGAGAAAGATGGCTATATATAGGCAGGAAGTGGTGGTAGTAGTAGTAGTAGTAGTAGTAGTAGTAGTAGTGAGTAGTAGTGTAGTAGTAGTGTAGTAGTAGTAGTAGTAGTACGTAGTAGTCAAGTAGTCAGTAGAGTGTATAGTAGTAGGTAGTAGTATGCATAGTAGTAGTAGTAGTGCTATAGAGGGTAGTAGTCAGTATAGTAGTAGTATAGTAGTAGTAGTGTAGTAGTATGGTGGTATAGTAGTAGGTAGTAGTAAGTATAGATAGTATAGTAAGTGATATAGTAGTAGTTAGAAGTAGACAGGTAGTGTGTAGTAGTATATGTGAGACGAGCCAGTCAAAACAAAGGAAGGGAGACCAAAGAGAGAGATGCCCACAGAGGGAGAGAAGAGACAGAAGGCGGAAAGGAAGTGGTAAATAAAGAAGAAGGAAAGAAACACGGACAGGGAGAGAAGACAACCCAGAGGAGAAGAAGAGGAAAGGGAAGAGGAAGAAGAAAAGAAAGAAAATGAGGATATCAGGTAAGTCACGTGTGTTCTGAAGTGGAGCATTTAACAATGTAGTGGAGAGGAAGGCATCTAGAGACGAAGCCAGGCAAGGTTTACAAGGAAGTTGATAGGAGTTCAATAGGATGGCGATGTTTGAGTTGGAGTAGAAGACAGTTAGCAGAAACAGTCATAGATGCTTGATTCTGAGTGACGAAAGAGCATTGTATGTCGGCAAGCTAACACTATTTTTGTGCTCCCTAAGTCTGTCAGAAAGAGATCGAGCAGTTTCTCCGAAGTATTGAAGAGGACAGGAGGAGCAAGAAATAGAGTAGACACCAGGAACATCTGTAGAGGGAGGAGAGGTATGAACGAGATTAGTGCGAAGAGTGTTAGTCTGGCGGAAGGTAAGCTTGATGTCTAAGGGAGGGAGAAAATTGTTGAGATTAGAAAGACCGGAAATGTAGGGAAGGCAGAGGATAGAAGAGTTCTCATGAGTAGAGAGTTTGGGAGAGAAGAAATTGCGTTTAGCACGTGAGGGGGCAGAGTCTATGAAATGGGAAGGGTAGCCAAGACGGGAGAATGAATTATGAAGAGTGGAAATTTCTGCTGGAAGGAACTGAGGATCACAGATGCAGAGGGCACGGAGAAAGAGGGAGATAAGAACACTTTTCTTGACAGGGGAAGCATGATAGGAAAAGTAGTGAATGTACATGCCACTGTGCATAGGTTTACGGTAAACGGAAAAGGAAAAACCTGTATCTGAGCGGTGGACATGGACATCAAGGAAAGGAAGCAAGGAATTAGATTCCCATTCAGCTTTAAACTTAATGGAAGAGGCAAGATTATTAAGAGCTTCAAGAAAAGGTTGGAAGAGACTGGAGTCATGAGGCCACAGAGCAAAGATGTCATCCACATAGCGGAGCCAGAGTGAAGGTTGCACATTGAGGGTAGGAAGAACAGTCTCAAAGTATTCCATGTAAAGATTAGCAAGGACAGGAGAGAGAGGAGAGCCCATAGCGACACCGAAGGTTTGAGAATAATATTTCCCTTGGAAGGAAAAGGAGTTAGTCCACACAGGCGGATCAGATCAAGAAAGACATCAGTGGGGATAGGGAGATGAAGAAACCCTTCATGGGCCTTCTCTCTAAGGAAATCAAGGACATCATCAAGAGGGACATTGGTGAAGAGGGACTCAACTCTCAAGACTAAGCATCTTACAGGTTGGGAGAGAGCGAACCCATTCAATGAAGTCTTGAGAGTTGAGTCCCTCTTCACCAATGTCCCTCTTGATGATGTCATTGATTTCCTTAGAGAGAAGGCCCATGAAGGGTTTCTTCATCTCCCTATCCCCACTGATGTCTTTCTTGATCTGATCCGCCTGTGTGGACTAACTCCTTTTCCTTCCAAGGGAAATATTATTCTCAAACCTTCGGTGTCGCTATGGGCTCTCCTCTCTCTCCTGTCCTTGCTAATCTAACTCTCTTGCAGTGCTCCCCTTCCTTTGTATCTGACTGGCTCGTCCTCCTTATTTCCCACTTCTACCACTACCTCTTCTACTACTACTACAACTACTGATGAAATTAAGACGCATGTGCGGCGTCTGGTTGTCTTTGTTGTCCCCGTCTATGATGGGGATGCCCGGGTATTGCGCATGTGTCTTAATTTCATCTTGTCGGTATTATATACAACTCTTGTACTACTACCACCTCTTCCTGCCTATATATAGCCGTCCTGCTCCACCTCTGGTTAGTGTGACTTTGTCAATGGTCCAAGTCGGACCGAAACGTCGTCGTAAGCTCACTTTTATGTGCGGATTATTTGTGTATCGTTCCAGTCTGATGATGATGATGATGATGATGATGATGATGATGATGATGAATGATGATGATGATGATGATGATGATGATGATGATGATGATGATGATGATGATGATGATGATGAGATGGATGATGATGATGATGATGATGATGATGATGATGATGATGATGATGATGATGATGATGATGATGATGATGATGATGATGATGATGATGATGATGATGATGATGATGATGATGATGA